CAAATCTGATTCCAGTTCTAGAAACTAAAGCTTCTTCTGAAACTCAAAAGGAGACACGTGTTAAAGATGCGCTCTTTTACCTCCGACAAACAAGTGTGTAACTGAATACGCTAAGCTAATTTGCCATTGATCTAATCTCACCGCTGTCAAGGAGAAGTAATTGAGATGTTAACGAGATCTGATTTGGGATTTTCCCTGTCCTCCGGGCATGTGCATGAAACAATCAGTATGGAGAAACGGACATCTTTGTGCTCTTGATGGAGCCGAGGACCCGCCGCGAGCCGCTTGACCTCCTCTAAAGTCAGCACTTGAGCATATGGAGACGCAGGGAGACGGATGGAGGCGCTCTGTAGTCTCGAGCCAAGAGAGACACGCTGACAAATGGAAGTGATCTTAAGAGCTGGATGACGCTGCTCTAATCTGGTGCTCTCACAGATGGCCTGCATGCACTCGCTCTCTCTGACTCGCACTTATTGCTGAAAAGATAATGGAGATTTTGCAGTTCTGGGAAGTTGGGGAAATAGGAGCGAGAAATCACAAATGAGGTCTTTGTAATTAATGTTGTAAGTTTATTTTACAGTTCAATGCTGAATTCATTAAATCTCCTTCAGCTTAGTCCCTTATTTATCAAGGGTCGCCACAGTGAAACGAACTGCAAATTATTTCAGCATATGTTTTACACAGCGGGTGCCCTTCCAGCTGCATCACAGCACTGGGAAACACACACACACATACACTAAAGTAAATTTAGCTTATTCAATTCACCTAAAGCCCATGTCTTTGGACTGTGAGGGAAACTGAAACGCCCAGAGAAAACCCACGCCAACACGAGGAGAACATGCAGTCTTCACACAGAAATGCCAAATGGCCCTGCTGGGGCTCGAACCAGCGACCTTTTTGCTGTTAGGCGACTACTCTGCCACCTTGTCACCCATTAAATGCTGAATTAAACATTTTAAATACTGAATTTAATTCTGAATTTGAATCTGTTTTAATTTTAGGTGCAAAACTAATGACACACACACATACGTCTGTGCGCAGTGGTTCTTGAAGCACTGACTCCAGCTGCAGTCCACTCTTTGTGAACCTCCCACATATTTCATATTTTTGAATGGGTTTTGTTTCACAATTCTCTAAAGGGTGTGTAATGTGCTTGGACTGAGCTCTTTGAACAGTCAGCCTTGTTTGTAATGACCTTTTGTGTCTTGCCTTCCTTGTGCAAGGTGTCAATGGTTGTTTTTTGAACAACTGTCAAAACTGTGTTCACAGCAATCTTCCCCATGATTGTGTAGCCCACAGAACTAGACTGAGAGACCATTTAAAGGCCTTTGCAGGTGTTTTGAGTTAATTAGGTGATTAGAATGTCTTCCATACTATAAAGTAGGGCTGCACGATACATCGTTTCAGCATCGAAATCGCGATGTGCGCATCCGCGAAAGTCACATCGCAGGAGGGTGCGATGCAAAAAAATAAAAAATTACATATATAGGCTATATGTATTATGGGTGGAGCAGAACCCGAATACAGTATTCGGATAAGCACGAATAGCGTGTTTTTACCAATACTTATTTCGAACAAATACTTGAAAAAAATGATTTGTATTCGGGAACAAGAAAAACATTATATCAAAAAAGCTTGCCAGCTTGCCAGCTCCAGGAGTCGGAGGCGGGGTGGGGCCGGGGAAAAAAGGTGACTGAAGCATGCTGCTGCTCCACAACAGCAACAGAGAAGGCTTGGCAGAGCGAAAAATACAGCATTACTATTTTTGTTAAAAAAATTTTTTTCATCATACTAAAATAACACGTAACAGAAGTTCACTCAAAAGTGAAAGTTCTTTCTGTCATTAATTACTAACACTCCTGTCATTACTACTTTCAGAAAATAAATTGATATTTTACCATATGAAAATGCAATGCAGTTATGAAAATTGTGAAATTAAAGCAATAGTACAGAGATCTGGTCCCTGCGTCAGGTCAGGGTGCACCTGTAAAACGCAGACGCTGAGGCGCACTAATCTCACACTGGAAAGAACTAGGCATTCAATTCATGTTTTAGTTAAATAATTCTTTAAATACAGCTCTCTTGATCTCTAAAAATGCAAAAGAAATTTGTCGTTAAATTAATTTTAGCAGAGACGCACCTGCCTGTCATTTTCACATTTGTTTTTCAGTTAGGGATTAGGTCTATTAACCTAATAACAATGTTTTTTTGGACACTATAGTCTACACAATAATCAATATTATAATTTATTATATACATTATTATTAAAACTAAACTATACAATTGATAAAACAAAACCCTTTTTATTGTTTAACTGCTTTCATTTTGACACCGCTAACAGTTGTAATAAGAAACATCACATTATGCAGAAGTTAAAAACACCTTTTGAGTTTAAAGATGATCAGCCTGCCAAGTCAAGTTTACAGTGTCATAAATGAAATAGGTAGCATGAGTAAAGGGGATTTGTCCAGCACACAACTTCTCGCTGCAGGTAAGCTGAATGATAATCTTTAAAAATATATATATGCAATACAAAACTTTAAACATTTATGTTTTTTTTTTTTAATAAAAAGAAAAGAAATCAGGAGAGTAAAATATAATTTAAACTGGTCTGGCACTGATACTTTATTGTTTGTAGCAAGAAAAAGAAAAAAAAGCAGATGAAAACCTGGCTGGGGAGACGGTGACAACATGGATTATCTGTTCTTTAGAAAAGATCACGACATTGTGAGGCGTTTATCATACAACGCAGTTTGTGTTTATAATCATTAATATTAACTAATATTAATTCTCTCTCTAGACTTTGTATTAGGGCTTGTTCTTGTCGGCGCAATATAGCCTCGGTTTATTGCACATACGAATCCGATTGTGAAGAATGATTAAGCGCTTGCATTTTTATTGCATCCTTTTCGCAAGTTATTTATCTATTTATTTTTTTAAAGTGGTGAGAGCATTATTTACTGGCAAACATGTTCCTTGATCTCGTACATCAACAAATAAAGTAGCCTACCTAAATTTATTGACCTTTTATGTAAAAATTAAGGAATAACTTAACTTAATTAAATATTAATAAATAAAACATCCGTATAAACGTAGACCTACATGTTTATTTTTGAACTTGCGTTAATAAAACAACACAAAACTGTTTATAAATATTGTAGTTAAATATTAAATAACTTTAACTGCTTGAAACCGTATAATAATATCAAATAAATGTTACATTTTTAAGAACTTAACAAATAGTCTAAATGGCACTTTACTAATCAGTGTAATAATTATATAGATATTAATAATTATAAGCAAAAAGTAAATATTAACCTAGTAACAATATAAGTCAGATGTTTAAAACAACAATGTAGGTTCTCTCCACCTTTTGTATTCCTATTTTAAATTATTTGCCAGAAAAACTAACATGTTGACTTTGTCCGGTTTAAATGAAGAATGGGGTTATAATGTTTCCAGCAATACACTGTCAGACGGTGTGCTTGTAGCGAAAATGCACAGACAGGCTACTTTTTCACAACCATGCGAGAGAGGGCTTCTCCTTCTGTTCCGCCGCCCGCATTTCTCGCAACGCAGGTTTCTCTACGCTGCGGAGCGGCGCGTTCTTAACTAGTTACCAAATATGTTGCTCCATTTCTCGTCAATGTCTTCCATTTATAACTTTCTCTTTTTTTATCTGGCCATTTTTGCAAATGCCTCTGCCATGCCTGGCTGAGCTGGGCTTCTGCGTTTAGAAGACAGGAGTTGGCTAAAAAAAAGCTACATGGCTTTTTTTTTCCCTCGCCGTCAATCGCCACTGGCTTGCATGATTCGGGACCCGTGGATCTGCGTATTGATGGATTTGCTCTTCAGTGTTTGGACTCTCAGCATTAAATATTAAAACACACTTTAACACTTAAAAACCCCCTACAAAAAGCTTAATCTAAATTAATTTGTTCACCTTTCTCGGTCGACATGAATCCAAAATGTTCCCAGATGTAAGAGTTCGTTTTCTGACAAGATTCATGGTTGAACTTGAACTTGCTGAATCGCGCCTAATGTTATATTCTAAGAGATATGTAATACTTACAGTAATTTGTATTTTAAAGTGCGTGACGTCACGTACTACAGCCGGTGGCAATGGACAACGGCGATGGCAACTGACCACGGCAGTGACGCGGTTGTCTCGGTGACCGTCACAGCCTTATATATATATATATGTATATATATATATATATATATATATATATATATATATATATATATATATATATATATATATCGCAGGGAAAAAATATCGCAATGTCAATGTTTTCCAATATCGTGCAGCCCTACTATAAAGTATGCTAAAAGCAGTATGCAAGCCAAGCAGTACATCCGAATTCAACTAATTCGAAAATCAGTGAGAAGTACCCATATGACCTACTACTTCCGGCGAGATTCTGAAGTGCACATCCAATGCACGGTATGCCATCTCATGACGTCCCACAAGAGAATTTGTGAATGGGATTAAAGCGACGCAACTCACATGATCATGACAAAATGGCGGATGTAGTATGTCTGAGTTCCATTCACACTACTGACATTCATACAGCATGGAATGTACTTTTCTAACAGCCCAGTAGTACATTTAAATTCAATGGCAGTACCTACTGAGTAGCAGGGTTCTTTCGGACGCAGCCAATGTGTCTTCAGTACTGAACCGATTCACATTATTCTAATTGTCTGAGAAACTGAATTTGGGGTCTTCCTTAGTTGTCATCAAAATGAAATAAAAAATAATCACTTGAAATATATCAGTCTATATGGAATGAATGTATACGTTATACAAGTTTTAATTCTTGAATGGATTTAGTGAAATAAATCAACCTTTTGAAGATATTGTAATTTTATGATCAGCTCATGTATGTATTGCGTATACGATTATTGCAACATCGATCATCTTGCAATGTATTGCGGAGCCCTAACTCAAAGCATATTGCCTGATGTTCTTCTGTTGACCTTGCCTGTGTTTGTAGGTACACGTGGCGGAGCACGGAGTGGAGTGAGTGTCGTGTGGATGCTCTGCTCAGCCAGCAGGACCGGCGGAGAGCCAATCACACTGGACTGTGTGGCGGAGGTGTGCAGACCAGAGAGGTTTACTGTGTCCAGGCCAATGCTGAACTCCTCAACTACATCAATAACAGCAAACACAAACAAGGTACAGGCATCTCTCCTTGACAGGTTGACAGATACACTGCATTTTTACCACCAGGAATGGATTCTTGATGTATTGTTTCTGAGTCAAATCAAATGATTGACCGACAGCACAACGAGAATGTGTTCAGTCCCAAATCCTTCACTATAGTGACTATCCTGAGCTGTGATCAAAAAATATATATAAGCACAATGGTGATGACGTGTTAAATTATTTATTATGGCTTTTAAGGATCGGTTAGCTAAACATCTGTATGTGATCAAACGTTTTGTGGTGTTGCTTGGCAAAAATCTTTTTCGCTTCATGACATGATTCAGTTAGAGAACCATTGTGTTTTGCAAGTTGTCATGAGTAAATCTGTTTCTTATGATTCCAAGAGTAAATATTTTTAGTATAATGGGCTATTTATTCCTAAAGTTGATTTCATGAGAAAATCTTCATTTGTTTTATAACATTTACATTTAGTCATTTAGCAGACGCTTTTATCCAAAGCGACTTACAAATGAGGACAAGGAAGCAACTTACACAACTATAAGAGCAACAATGAATAAGTGCTATAGGCAAGTTTCAGGTCTGTAAAGTCTAAGAAGGAAAGTATTAGTACATTTTTTTTTATTTACTTTTTTTGGGTACAGTTAGTGTGATATCCAGAGAGGCAATTGCAGATTAGGAAGTGAAGTGGAGACTAAATAGTTGAGTTTTTAGTCGTTTCTTGAAAATAGCGAGTGACTCTGCTGTTCTGATGCAGTTAGGGAGTTCATTCCACCAACTGGGCAGATTGAATGTGAGCGTTCGCGAAAGTGATTTCTTCCCTCTTTGGGATGGAACCACGAGGCGACGTTCATTCACAGAACGCAAGTTTCTGGAGGGCACATAGATCAGCAGAAGTGAGAGCATATGAGCAGGAGCAAGGCCAGAAGTCACTTTGTAGGCAAACATCAGAGCTTTGAATTTGATGCGAGCAGCAACTGGCAGCCAGTGCAAACGGACTAGCAGTGGTGTGACATGTGCTCCTTTAGGTTCATTGAAGACCACTAGTGCTGCTGCGTTCTGGAGCAGCTGAAGAGGCTTGACAGAGTTAGCTGGAAGCCCAGCTAGTAGAGAGTTGCAGTAATCCAGTTTGGAGAGAACAAGAGCTTGAACAAGGAGTTGAGCTGCATGTTCAGATAAGAAGGGTCGGATCTTTCTGATGTTATAGCGTGCGAATCTGCACGATAGAGCAGTTCTATAATTTTGGTCAGAGAAGTTTATTTGGTCATCAATCGTTACTCCAAGGCTTTTCACCATTTTGGATGCAGTAATGGTTGCCCCATCCATTTGGATTGAAAAGTTATGGTGTAGAGTCGAGTTGGCAGAAACTACAAGCATTTCCGTTTTTGCGAGGTTCAGCTGAAGATGATGATTTTTCATCCAGTGTGAAATATCCAACAGGCAGGCTATAAGATGCCAAAAACAAATCTTTATAATTTCAAAGTGTCATTTGATTTCATACAATAATCTTTATAAATTACCTTTTGATTCTGTATTGTACGTGAGTCTTAGTTTCATTAGATTTCAAAAGAATTCTTTAAGGCTCCTTATGAGTTTCATTTGATTCCATAAGAGTATCAATATACATTCCAATTGATTAAAAGAATCCTTATAAGTTCCTTTTGATTATTGTAAGTTCACTAATTTAATTTCATGAGAGAATCATTTTAAGCTCATCATAAGCTCTATTTCATTCCATAAGATAAACTTTTTAATTATACGTTTCTTTTGATTCAATGAGAGAATTATTGTAAGTTCATTATAAGTTTTATTTTGTTCTATAATAAAATCATTATAAGCTCATTATTAGCACCATTTGATGCTATAGGAGAAAAATTAAAAGTTCTATTTGATTTCATAAGAGAGTAATTTTAAGTTCAGTATGAGTTCAGTATGAGAATCTTACTGCTAATCAAGCTAATCAAGCTCTTTCTAGGTATACTAACTTCCAGGCAAGTGTGTTAAAGAAAGTTGGAGCTAAACTGTGCAGGACACCGGCTCTCCAGGACCAAGTTTGGACATCCCTGCCATAAGTGAATCTTTAAGATTAATTTGATTGCATAAAAGTATCTTCAAAATTTTCATGTAATGCTTTAATGGAATAATATGTTTTCCAAAAGTCTTCCAAAAATAGGTAAACACCAAGATAATCTATTATAATAACGTGAATTTATTTTATGACGCTTTGCCAAAAAATGTGTACCTCACAAAAAAACAATTAATATGTAAAATACATGGATCTATCCCTCATATCTTTCCTCTTTCCTAGTTTTCTCTCTCCAAAACTCACATGCACTGTGTGTGTGTGTGTGTGTGTGTGTGTGTGTGTGTGTGTGTGTGTGTGTGTGTGTGTGTGTGTGTGTGTGTGTGTGTGTGTGTGTGTGTGTGTGTGTGTGTGTGTGTGTGTGTGTGTGTGTGTGTGTGTGTGTGTGTGTGTGTGTGTGTGTGTGTGTGTGTGTGTGTGTGTGTGTGTGTGTGTGCATGCATGTAAAGCTGAAAATCTACTATATGTATTGCATCAGCATTTCTTTGCATGCTCCACACACTATCTCTCGATTAGTGGGCCACCCTTCTTAATAAGAACATTTTTTTTATCTCTTTCCCTCCTGCTTGCTCTTTTGATGCTCTGAACTGTGTGTTGAGCACATTGGAATTTATGGTAACACACGTGTCTTCCACATTAGAGCAGACCAACACTGCCTGCATGAAAGGCTCCTATTAAAACAGGCCACTGGTGGAGCTGCGTATGCCGGGGAATCTGTGTGTTTATCAGCGTGGAGCAGGAGATCTGGCTTCACTGGGGGGGTAAACTGAGCCGCTGACAGCAGATACACCAGAGCAGACGGTGCAGAAAGTTAAAGGGCTGCAGTCGTGATGTTCTCGCTCTGGGAGGATCCTGTCAGCTTCAGAATCTTTGATGTGATCGAGCCTTCATCAAATTCTTTGCATTTGCTTGTTAGAAACACAACATTGTGCGTATAGCATGAACAGAACATTATTTCCCACAGGCCTCACTGTTTCATAATCCAAAGTGGATGAAGTTTGAATTTCATTTTCTAACATTTGATTCCACATGGTGATCTTTTAAAGTTTCTTATTATGCGTAAATAAATAGTGATCTATTGTAATTTGTTTCATATAATGCTATACGAGTGAAAGGGGTTAGCACTGTCACCTAACAGTAAGAAGTAGGGGTGTCAAAATTAATTGTTTCTTCGGTGCACCGCAATGCAGACGCGGACAATTCAGTCGTATTATGTACTGACGTCATTTATCTCATATGCAGAGATGTACAGTAATGAAGTAGAACTACTTCTCTACTGGACTTAAGTACTAAAAGGCAGTATCTGTGCTCTACTGGAGTATTGTTTTTTTTCTCCTACTTCCACTTTTACTTCAGTACATACTTTCGATGAGTTTAATACTTTTAACTTTGATAGATTTTTTAATGTGCTGCATCGTTACTCGTTTTTAGGGGTGTCAAAATTATTGATATCGGTTCAGTAACAGACAGCCTGATCTCACGAGAAAACGTAAGTATTTTACGTTTTGCCAGTTTAGTGGCTAATTCGTACAAATTCATACAAGTTCAGTCGTACAAAATTGTACAATTTTTGAAAGGAGGCGTGGCACCTAACCCCACCCCTAACCCCAACCGTCATTGGGGGATGAGCAAATCGTACTAAATTTTACGAATTAGATCGTACAAATTCAAACGAATTAGCCACTAAGTGAATAAGTTACGAATTGCCATGAGATTGTGTAGTAATAGATCATAACCGGTTATTTCGTACTGATGTCATTTATCTCCTATGCAGAGATGTATTGTAACGAAGTAGAACTGCTTCACTACTGTACTTAAGTACTAAAAGGCAGTATATCTACTCTACTGGAGTATTGTTTTTTTACTCCTACTTCCACTTTTACTTCAGTACATACTTTCGATGAGTTTAATACTTTTACCTTCGATAGATTTTTAATATGCTGCCATCGTTACTCGTTATTAGGGGTGTCACAATTATTGATATCGGTTCAGTAATAGACAGCCTGATCTCACAAGAAAACGTAAGTATTTTACGTTTTGCCAGTTTAGTGGCTAATTCATACGAATTCGTACAAGTTCAGTTGTACAAAATTGTACAATTTTTGAAAGGAGGCGTGGCTCCTGACCCCACCCCTAAACCCAACCATCATTGGGGGATGAGCAAATCATAGTAAAGTTTACGAATTAGATCGTACGAATTCATACGAATTAGCCACTAAATGAAAAAGTTACGAATTGCTATGAGATTGTGTTGTAATAGATCACAACCGGTTATTACATACTGACGTCATTTATCTCCTATGCGCGATGTCGCAGTAGAATACTATGGCGAAGGAGGCGAGGGCGAGTAAATAACGGTCTTACTACAATGAAGGTGGCACAGCACACGAGCCGCTATTTCACTTCTAGGGAGAAATGCTGTAAAACTCCATCTCTACCTCTCTCTCTCTCACTTTGGACATTTGACCAGCTGGCTTTTTTGTGAGGTAAATTTTTAACTCCTCTTGGCTGTTAAAGCAATACTTGTGGATCCAGACAGGAGCGTGTTTTCAACAATGTGTCTATTACGGATTACCTGTGATAACCGCGTATTATGCGCATACAGACTGTAACCGCGGCTGTTCTTCCCGCGTCACTCATCAGTGAACAGCGCTTTGATTTCTAAAACTGATCTACTTTACATTTACATTAAGTCATTTAGCAGACACATTTGAGATTTTATATTTATTTATATGTATTTATTTTACACAAAAATGAGGCATTTAGCGATTTGGCAAGAGGAGGCACAATGTACACACAAAAAGTGTTAATAATACAAAGGAACTGTTTGTGCTCAGAGAATAGGGTATAATGCGGAAGGACTTTTAATTTGTCAGTAATCTGGGTTGCTGGCTTCCGGTGAACTGTATGCCATTACAAAATCGACGCGTTTAAGGTCTTTAAAAATCAGCGATCATCACTGGCTGAGTGATATCTGATATAAGGTGGGTCTCAGATTGTACAAGAAGCACTGCATTAAATATTTTTTTTCCTGCCATGTCTTTAAAATATGAACATTTATTTTACCACAGTATATTCACAGTATATCCTGAGGGGCACGTGGAGTAGGCAGATTTTCATCTTGTTTTACTCTTGAACAACTAAAATGAATGCCAAAGTCTATTTAACTAATTGTATTGGAATTACATTTCAACATCGATGCTGCAAAAGGAACCGTATAAAATAGAAAAACTGTTCAACGGAAGTTTATCCGTGTATGGGAAGAAGCACTAGCTCTGCATATATCCAATTAGGTGCTAGAGTAAATTTTTATTTTTTTTTTTTTTTATAAATTGATGTGGGGTTTCTACGTGTGGTTTGTCAAACCCACTCACATGTGTGAAGCATGTTTCATAAATGCACTTTGATTCCATAAAATAATCTTTATATGATGCTATAAAAGAATTTGTATACATTCCATTCTGTTAAATGAGGCAATCATTTGAAGATCAATAAGATCCTACAACAGACAATAAAAGTCAAAATAATAGAGCAGAATCTAGAGTTCAATATTAGGCTGACAATTCAAATGGTTCTTGATGAGTTCACTGCAAATGTGCTGCAAAATCCACAGAGGAAGCTTAAGTTTTGAGCGTGTGGGAGGAATCCCGGGGCTTTTGACTGTTTGAGATCTGAGCACAAGTAAAAGCTATAACCAGCTTATACCCCACATTATTATCACATTACTGTCAATGGAGGCGATGCCTTAATACGCACAATAAACTGCCATGACATTGCATTGGGCAGAGCTATATTTGGAGCTGTTTATATAGGAGCTCACACAAATGTGATTCATTTGTGGGACTGGATATAGTTTGGCAAATGGCAAAACCAGAAGTCGCTTTAACCCAACATTTTTCAGTCACTTACCAAAACTTTGACAGGTAATTGAAAATGCTTTGTGTTGCTCTGACAGATATAAAAAGAAGTTGTCTTTTCTATTGCATTTCATGAAGAAAAGCAAGAAAATAAAATGTCATATATTTTAATTGTTTTGTTGTTTTCATATTTTGTTTAATTTTAATTTTTATTTATTTCAATTAATTAAATCATTTACTAATGTTGTAATTTATATATCATTATTTTTGCTGGTTTTTGTCAATGTTGTAATTTTTAATGTATTTTCGATTTTAATGGTATTTTATTTATTTATTATTATGTAAAACTATTTTTATTTTATTTTTAATTATGTATATATTTATTTTAATGTAATAATAATTCATATTGTATTTTATTTTTTATCTTTATTTATTTATTAAATTAAATTAAATTTTATGTTATTTAGTTTTATATTTTTATTGTTTTTTATTATTTCATTTTTTTATTGTTCATTATTTTATTGTTTTTATTATTCATATTTATTTTAATTAATTAATTAATTTGTTAATATTATAATTTTTAATATATTTTTCATTTTTAATGGTATTTTATTTATTTATTAATATGTAAAACTATTTTTAATGTTTAATTATGTATATATTTATTTTTAATTTGATAATAATTAATATTGCATTTAATTTAATATTTCTATTTATTAATAATAATAATTTATATATATATGATTAATAAATAGATTATATGTATTTGTTTGTTTATTTTTTATTTGTTCATTTGTTTATTTAATAAATAATAAATAATGGCAAATGGCAAAAATAGAGGTCGCTTTAACCCAACTTTTTAGTCACTTACCATAATGCTGACAGGTAATTGGAAAAGCTTTGTGTTCCTCCGACAGAAATAAAAATATGTCTGATCTATTGCAGGAAGAAAAGCGAGAAAATAAAATGTGATAAAATGTCATAAGTTTTATTGTTTTATTTTTTTATAATTTTTTATTTTTTTATTAAGTCATTTATTTATACATTTATTTATTTGTTTATTTATTTATTTTATTTTTAATGGTATTTTTTATTTATTAATTCAATTTAATTTTTTTTATTTTATTGTTTATTATTTATATTAATAATGAAATAATTTATCAATGTTGTCATTTTTATAATTTTCTCATTTGTAATGGTATTTCTTTATAAATTTTTTATTTATACGTTTTTTAAGTATTTATATAATTATTTTTATAGTATTAATAATTAATATTATATTTTATTTTTATATTTTATTTTCTTCAAAATTATATTAACATAATTAGTTAGCTGATTCATTTCACACACTTTTTTATTTTTATTTTTATTTTTGTTTTCTTTTTTTGGCAAATGGCAAAACCAGAGGTCACTTTAACCCAACATTTTTCAGTCACTTACCAAAACGTTGACAGGTAATTGAAAAGGCTTTGTGTTGCTCTGACAGATATAAAATAAGTTGTCTGTTCTATTGCATTTCATGAAGCAAAAGCAAGAAAATAAAATGTGAGCAGACTGAGTGGTGTGTGTGAGACCATTTTTCATATTTTACTGACAAGGAAAGCAGAAGATGCTATAAATTTTGCATATAACCTTTCCGTAACCTGCCAAAAAAAAGTGAATTTTTGATGAACGTCCAAAAGAGGCTGTTTATTGTAGATCTTATGATTTTGGGGGCTCTTAAAAGGTGGAATGTGCTCATATTCACTTCCTGCATCACAGCTCAGGATAGTTTGATAGCTTAAGATCTTCTGGCTTGAATGATCCCTTTAATGCTGTAATATTGTGGAAATAGTCTCAGTATATCCTCATTATGCAGCTCAGAGTGATAGCATTTGTGTTTGTCTGTTGAAGTAGTTTGTAGAGCTGGTGTTTGTGTATGTTTTGTAGAAGGTCAGTCTTCAAATGGTCAGATGCCTAGTGTCCCTCCTCTCCTGTCCATCACCTATGAGATCTCAGGTAAGATGGTTAACAACTTTAAAGCTTGGTTTTGAAATGGTAACCCATGTTTATTTTATTTTATTTTATCCATTCGTTCATTCATTCATTAATTTTCGTTTCGGTTTAGTCCCTTTATTAATCTGGTGTCGCCATAGCGGAATGAACTGCCAACTTATCCAGCATATGTTTTACGCAGCGGATGCTCTTCCAGCCGCAACCCATTACTGAGAAACATCCAAACACTTTTGCTTTCACACTCGTACACTACGGACATTTTAGCTTATTTAATTCACTTACAGTGCATGTGTTTGGACTGTGGGGGAAACGGAACCACCTGGAGGAAACCCACGCTAACACGGGGAGAACATGCAAACTCCACACAGAAATGCCAACTGATCCAGCCGGGGCTTGAACCAGCATCCTTCTTGCTGTGAGGCGATCGTGCTACCCACTGCGCTACCATGACCGTACCCTATTTTATTTATTTTATTGTTTTATTGTTTTTTGTTTTTATTATTCATTTGTAAATGTTTCAACTTTTTCATTTTTAAGGTTATTTTATTTATTGATTTCATTTAATTTTTTCGTAAATTTTTCGTATTATTTTATAATTTTATTGTTTTTATTATTTATATATTTTTTAAATTATTAATTTATTAATGTTTAATATCTTTATTTATTTAGATTAATAGATTTTTAATTTTATTGTTTTTATCATTTATATTTACTTTTATTAATTGATTTATTTATTTGTAATTTGTTTGTATTTATTTATTTTATAGGTTTATTGTTTTTAATATTTATTAATTATTTAATTATTTATATTTTATTTGATTAATTAATTAGTTTATTAATATTTAAATGTGTATTTATTTTATTGTTTTTATTTTATTGTTTTGATTATTTATATTTATATTTATTCATTAATTGATATATTCATATGTAATTGTTTTAACATTTTCGGTTTTAATGTTATTTTATTAATTAATTTATTTTTGTTTTATTTTTTAATTTTTATGTGTTTATTATTAATTAATCAACTGATTTATTTATAAATGTTTTCATTGTTTTCATTTTAATGGTATTTTATTTATTTGTTAATTAAATTTTATATTATAATTTTTTTTATTATTTTATTCTTATTATTTATATTTATTTATATTAATTCATTAATTCACTAATGTTGTAATTTTTAATATTTGTTTTCATTTTTATTAGTATTTTATTTTTTAATTAATTATTTTAATTTTAGTATTAAAATTATGTATTTTTAATGTATTAAAAGTTAATATTATATTTAAAATGTGGTATGATAATTGTTGTTAGAATAAATTCTTTTATTTAATTGATTAATTTTTTTTTCACGTGATAAAAAATTTAATTTATTTTTATTCATTTATTTAATTTCCCTCTTTTTTCCTTCTCCTTCCTGCTTCTGCATAGTATTTTTTACATTACAGTTTTTTCTTATTTTGTATCTGTAAGTTATCATCAAAAGCACGCCACAAGTAAGAAAATAATTATTTACAAAATTAACATATTTTATTGTAACTTTTTTTTAGTTTTCCCTCTTCTCTTCTCTAAATCTGACATGATGCTCTTTATTTGTGTAAATCTCTCTGCCTGCGGCGTGTTTGCATATTTCGATAGCTTTGTCTGTTTACTCTCTGTATTTTGGTAAGTGTTTGTGTCCATAGAGAGCTCATTACAAGCACTCATGTGATGCAACGCTCTGAAGTTCCTCCTGTGGGCTCATAAACTGACAGAGATTGATGGATAATGACAGTCTGTACTGTACGCTCTTCTTTAAAGAAATCAACAAGCGTTTTGTTTGTGTCTATAAGTGCCATATTAAAATAAAATAATAAAAACAAAATAAATAAAACAATAAAAATAATAACAAATTAAATATTAAAAATTAAATAAAATGATACATTAGAATAATAAAAATAAAATAAATAAAATAAAATAATTTTAAATATTAAATAAAAATTATAAAAAATAAAATTATAAAATAAAACAAAAAAATATAAAAAATGTAATAAAATAATAAAAATAAAATAATAAATTAATAAAAGTTAAATAAAATAATACAAGAGAAAATACAAATATAAAAAAAGAAAATAATAAACTAAAATAACGTAAAATAATAATAATAATAAACATAATAATAATAACAATAATAATAATAATAATAATAAATATTAACAATATATTTAAACAAAATAAAATATTTATGCATTAAATCTTTTGTGCCTAAAAAATTAAATGAAATGCATTTTGAATGTTAACGTAAAATAACATAAAATAAAATATTAAAATAAAATAGTACAAATAAAATAAAACAACAAAAATAATAAAAAATGAAATAAAATAATAAAAAATAACATAAAATAATAAACAAAAATGAAAATATTAAATAAAATAAAAAATATTATCACTTAAAAATAATAATAATTTTAATGATAAAATAAAAAAGAATAACAAAATAATTAAACAAAACTATAAAATAACACAAATTAAATAAAATAATTAAAATGAAATGCGTATAAAATACAGTTGCTTAAAGTTTTTTTAAGCAAGTCCCAGAATATTCTCCTGCTTGAAGCTAAGTCTGTCCGTCTGGGTTTGTCAGATCAACCACAAACCGCAAACTCTGATTAGACTGAAAGTTTTGCGCAGAAGGTCTGGACCATCTGCCACATAAACAGGGACAACCTGTGCAGCGTTGTTCAAGTCTGTCTCTGCATTACTATGAGGAACAGCTGAACTGTCTCTCCTCATTGTTTTTGAAGCTCTGTGGTGTTTCTGTGCGTCTCTGGAGAGCTGAATGCGGCTCGTATCCACTTTACCTGTGTCTTTGATGCAAACACGGGCGTCATGGCTGCTGTCAGCCATCAGGCCCACAGACAACACTATCCTTAATTTTACAACGTTCACACTGCTGCTGTTTGGGCTTTATCGTTACTTGTTAAAAAACATGGTTCACACATAATAGATTATTTGACATGGTTGGCATTTGACAACATAGATACGTTGTTCTTTTTAATGATTATTAATCATCAGTTTTGTTTACAATTTGTTTACTGTTGTAGGGTTAAACTTAGCTGTTTCCTGAATAATTTTCACAGTATGTCTGATAATATTTTTTCTTCTGGAGAAAGTCTTATTTGTCTTATTTTGGCTAGAATAAAAGCCGTTTTTAATTTTTCAAACACTATTTTAAGGTTAATTATTAGCTCCTTTAAGCTATATTTTTTTCAGTAGTCTACAGAACAAACCATTGTTATACAATAACTTGCCTAATTACCCTAGTTAAGCCTTTAAATGTCACTTTAAGCTGTATGGAAGTGTCTAGAAAAATATTTAGTCAAAAATATTTAGTTATCATGTGCTGTCATGATGGCAAAGATAAAAAAAATCAGTTATTGCATTGGTTCTCAAACCGTGGTATGTGTACCACTAGTGGTACACAGGCTTTCTTCTAGTGGTACTCCAAAAAAATACACTTTTACCCTTTGACATGAACAATTAAGTGATCAGCACCGGCTGTTCCCTGTAGCGTATATGATCACATCGGTGCAGTGCTTAGAATGTTTACTTTAGTGCATCGCGTCGTCAGATGCTAAAAATAAGGTGTGCGGCAGCTGCGATTGCAGAGCTGATGAGAGGGGTCTGGATGCAGACCTGGTGCAGTGCAATCTGAGCTGCATCCAATGCTTTTTAATAGGCTCACCTAACCCCACCCCTAACCCTACCCATCACAGTGATGTCACTCGCTCCATTTAGTGCATTGTGTCTTAGATTTCATCGCTAAGTGATGCAAATTCAACTTGCATCATAAAGGCTGCATCAGATACTATTGGAGCAGATACGTGGTAGAGAAGTGCTTTTGCAGACCAGTTCTGTTGTGTTGGCATTTCGGTTCTTACAAACTCAGGAATCTCCCCATGCTGCATCATTGGTATAATAGCTATCACAAATGTGTTAAAAAAAAAATGTGTTCGTAGTTGTGTAAAATAATGCATGTTTTCGATATGCTATCTGTTTTGTAAAGTTTGTTTTGTTAACTAAAAGTGGCTTTCGGTTCAATTGTTACCTCAGATTTAGGCTAATTAATTTGGATGTGATTCAAATTTCGCAGGACACAAATAGACTCAAGCAACTTTGCCATGCATTGGAGCTATAGAATAGTTCAATTTAGTCTCTGTGTGCGGTTAACACAACCTCCAATAATTAATCTGCCTCGTCATTATGGTGGTACTTGGAGAGACAGTTTTTTCTGAGGTGGTACTTGATGAAAAAAGTTTGAGAACCACTGAGTTATTAGAAATGAGTTATTAAAACTATCCTGTTTAGATATGTGTTGAAAAAATCCTCTCTCCGTTAAACAGAAATTGGGGAAAAAAATAAACGGGGGCAAATAATTCAGGGGGGCTAATAATTCTGACTTCAACTGTATAATTTTTTCTTTTAAAGGGCACATATGGTAAAAAAAAATCTACTTTTCAAGCTGTTTGGACAGATCTGTGTGTTGGTATAGTGTATAGACCGTCATACTGGGGTGATATGAACACACCCAGTCCTTTTTTTTTTTCAATTTAACTACAAAAAAAGGGTCGGCCAATTGGAGCTGTTTTGAAATCGATCGCATTATTACGTAGGTGTGCGATCCCCCCGCCCACTGAATTGATTGACAGCTGCGCGCATTAACATGTTCCGGTAGTCACGTGTATATGTTAACAAGACCAGACAGACATGCAAAGCAACCGGGAATAAAAGGTCTGTTCTGTTCGCTAGGATCAGCAATCATCATCAAATGTGATTAAGAGTGAGTTTCACATGTTTAAAGTGTTTTAAAACAGAGTATGTGTGTAATTAATTACAGCGTTTTACTTCAGCTTTACTTCATCAGCACAGCCGCGTGTCAGAACAATTATAAAAGAAGACGCTTCAATCCCGGTTTGTGGAAGTTAAATCAGGTTTATTTTGTACATTAGCATAACAGATATCCACACAGTACTTGAGGTTAGCCTTAACTAAGCTAAGCGCGCTCTGTCTGCCTACCTGCCTGCCTGCGTGCGTGTGTATCTGTGTGTGTGTGTGTGTGCGTGTGTGTGCGCGCGTTAACTTTGTAACGATATTGTGTGTGACTCATCAATGCAACTTCACAATACTGATTAGTAAAGTTTAGTTCTTACTGTAGTATCTCACAAACGCTACGTGAGACCTTCTTCCTTTAAGTCTGTCTGTTGTCTGACGCAGCTGAGGGAGGAGGCATGTAGAAATAGTGGGCGGGAAAGACTCGTCTTAAAGGCACAGTACGACAAAACCACCCCCTGCTGAAAATCAGTATAAAACAGCATCTTGTAAAAGGTATAATGAAAAATCTGATGGGTATTTTGATCTGAAACTTTATATAAACATTCTAGAGACGCAAAAGACTTGTATTAAATCTGAAAAAAGAGGTAACCTAGGCGCCCTTTAATAATTAAATGTAATAATTTCCAATAAGCTGAAACATTATCAAATTACTCAAAATAATAAATCAACATATTAGATTTGGCCTTCAAACCCTCCTGAAGTCTTTATCCCTTTCAGTATTTCTCCTGTTACTTTCTCTTTGCTGTGCTGCAGCAGGCACTCGTGACTCTTCAGAGCGTGTTTAATGTTGCCATTTGTTGTTTCCTGCAGTTACATAAACCTAATTGTGGTCCATGTGTCGTCCCCACGTGGGCGTCTCGCTGCAGTGTTTTAATGTGTGTGTTTCCATTTGCAGCATCTCCACCGGTGGATGTTCGCCTGTGTAAAGGAGCGACTCCGAGCGCCACACAACTGTGCCACATTCAGTGCCCTGTGGAGTGTCAGCTGTCCCCATGGGGCGCCTGGGGGCCCTGCACCTTCGAGAACTGTGACGAACGCAGCGTCAAAAAAGGTGAACACTTTATACAGTGCCCTCTGCTAATACTGGCTCCCTTGGTAAATATGAGCATAGAACGATGGGATTTTTTTATTTTATGGGGCCAGATTTTGCAGATTTAGCGTTTTCTTTTCCATGAGAGTGTAATGCACAGGGACTTTTAATTTTGAATAAGCCAGCTAAGATGCTTTCTGTCATGCTATTATAAACTTGCCTACGGAATCAGAAATGGCATACTTCCATAATATATAGTATGTTAAAAACAGTATGCGAGCCGAGTAGTATGTCCGAATTCATAGTATTGGAAAATCAGTATGCTAGAACAGGGCTTTTCAAAGTGTGAGGCGCGCCTCCCCTGGGGTCAGGGGAGGCACGGGAAAAAATATATAATAAAAAAATATAATTATTAAGTTTAATTATTATATGAATTTTTTATTATATTTAAACGTCTTAATTAAACAAAGCTAAAAAATTATTTGTCAAAAATAAGAAAACCTTTTTTACCCAGAAGGCCATAGCTGTGAATTCGCTTCTGATTGGAAAGCCCGCCAATACAGGTATATGCCTGCTAATACAATGGGTCGGTTTCTGAGACCCCCCGATTCAAAGCCTTCAAGTTCAGTGCTTAAACCCAAAAGACGACGATATGATGATCAGTATTTGAGTTTAGGATTTACGTGGACTGGACCAGCTGAGGAACCACGACCTTTATGTGTGGTTTGTCAAGATATTTTGGCTAAAGACAGCATGAGACCCGCTAAACTTCGACTGTTTTGACTGGGATGGACAGTTCTTGGATTTGTTCTATTCATATTGAACAATCATCCTAGTTTTAAAAACGTTATATTAAAATACTTGTTATTACTCTGTAAATAATTGCACTTTCATGCAAATGATGATAAAAGTGAGTTAACAGTCTGACATCTGTCTGTGTCTTTATATATATATATATATATATGTGTGCGTGCGTGCCTGCGTGCGTGCATGTGTGCGTGCGTGCGTGCGTGCGTGTTTGGGAGGAGGGGGGCGCCAATAGATAAGTTGTGTCAAAAGGGAGGCCCACTGTCTTAGACTTTGAAAAACCCTGTGCTAGAAGAATTCGAATGACCTACTACTTCCGGCGAGATTCTAAAATGTGCATTCAATGAACGCTAAACTATCCCATAATTCACAGCAAATGAATTCATGAATGGGAGTGAAGCTACGCAACTGACGCTTCAGGTAGGTAGGTTACGTGATAATGACTAATGGCGGATATAGTACATCCGAGTTCCATTCATGCTACTCACATTCATACTGTTATGTGTTTGTGTTGTTATATTGGATGAGATGTAAGATTAGGTGAGTTTCTACTGGTGCTGGGAGAAATAAAAAAAATCACAACTGATAAATCTATGTGAAACAAAACTAACAATTTATTAAACTATGATATTAAATAATAAATATACAGTTGAAACCAGAAGTTTACATACACTCTAAATAAGCAACATAACTTTTTTTTTAAATGTCTGATGGTAAATCATACTGAACGTTTACTATTTTAGGTCTGTTAGGGTTACCTAAATGATTTACATTTGCTAAATGCCAGAACATTAAGATTTTTTTTTTTTTGAGAATTTTTTATTATTTCTAGCCAGTCAAACCTTTACATTCCCTTGGTATTTCTTTAGCTTTGCTTTTAAACTGTATAACTTTGGTAAAATGTTTTGGGTATCCTCCCACAAGCTTCTCACGATAGTTTGAAGTAATTTTGGCCCATTTCTCCTGACAGATTTGGTGTAGCTGAGTAAGATTTGTTGGCTTTGTAATTTATAATTCTTGTATTGTTTTAAATGAACTATAGTTTGTAGAGAATGTATTCTGTTTCATTTGTACTTTAAACCTTTTGTTGTTATTGCAATAAAAAAAAAATAAATAAATAAGGGATCACGCCATGTGATCGGCCATGACAGTCGCAACTTTGAGCCCCTAGAAGTGTCTTGCTTGACGGCTTCGTTTTCAACACCGCCCCCACCTGGGCTCGGCTAATCTGCCTACTTAATGCTTTTGAGCACTGCTGGCCAACTCCCGAGTGTTGCGTCGAGTGGTGTGCAGAGTGGCGTCATAATGATGAGTGACGATCTTCTCGTCCAATGATTGCACGCCTGCGGCAGGACAGGAAACAAAGCAGGGAAAAGGAAGAAAAAGTGAAACATAAAACAAACACAAAACACCACAAAACATACGTGGAACGTAACACATACTATATAAAATGTACTTTTCTAACAATCATGTATTAAATTCAAATTCAAATGTAGTACCTACTAGATCTGGTTTGTTTAAAATCAACAGTGGTGGTTAAAGTGCCATTACTTACCCAAACTATAGTGCATGCTGAGTAAAAATATCTGCTGTAAATATCTGCTGTAAAACACATTTCTAAACATAAAAGTTTTAATAACTCATCTCTAATAACTGATTTATTTTATCTTTGCCGTGATGACTATATAATATTTTACTAGATATTTTTCAAAACACTTCTATTCAGCTTAAAAGCTTAACTAGGTTAATAAGGTTAACTAGGCAGGTTAGGGTAATTAGGCAAGATATTGTATAATGATTATTTTGTCCTTAAAATGGTGTTTAAAAAATTAAAAACTGCTTTTATTCTAGCTGAAATAAAACAAGTAAGACTTTCATCAGAAGAAAAAATATTATCTGACATACTGTGAAAATGTCCTTGCCTTGTTAAACATAATTTGGAAAATATTTGAAAAAGAAAAAAAAAATTCAAATTGGGGCTAATAATTCTGACTTCAACTGTACATTCATTTATTGACCAGCAGCTTGGTTTCTTCCATCACTTCTTCTTCTTCTTCTTCTTCTTCTTCTTCTTCTTCTTCTTCTTGTTTTATGGCGGTCGGTAATCAAACAAACAAACAAACAAACAAAGGGACAAAGAAAAACAGACTCCTCTTCTAACACAAAAACGGGACATATATACAAAAGACAGGGACTAGTCCATTATGGAAAGGAAACTAAACATCACAAACTAATACAAAACAACCACCAAACATACTCAAATAATACACTTAAAATAATTTAATTAATATATAAACAAAACTAGCAACTCAAATACTAATAATAAACAAAAATAAAGAAATTCACACACCCCCCTCAGCCAATTTGCATGTTGGTTTGGTCAGGCGGAACAGTGTCGGCAAATGTTGCCAGCCGGTCCCTTAGAGCAGCTGGACCTCTGTTAGACTACAGTCTCTGGAGTACAGAGCCACGCTAAACTTGGATCTCATATGTAACTTTAACTCACAGAAATAAATATCAATAAATCTTGTCAAAAGTACTACTAGAACGTGTGCACTCCAAACTAGTAACTTATAACATGAAACAATTGAAATGAAAATAAAATGTCAAAGTGAACCAAACTGTGTCTGTCATTATTGTGTATTTTCTGTAACGAATAAGAAATACCAAATTAAAAAATTATCAATGTGGTTGTGTTTGTGTATATACTATTGTTTAAAGTGCGGACACATTGTTTGCCATCACATTTATATTACCTTATAGTATTTAGTTCTGGACTCTGTGGAGACCATTTCATGACTGTCAGTGTTTCATCAACTGTTAATTTTACTGCATTAGCAGATTATTACTATGCTAAAAAATATAACTTATATATTACCAACTGTATTAGAGGAACTTTCCAGAAGTAACAGCATAATGGATCTTTACTTATTAGCATTCACAATCCCATCAATTCAGAAAATAGTCAAAATCACATTTAGAAATGCAGCCTCAAACCAGAACAGAGCCTTTGCCATGTCTTAACAATGGCAAAAAAAGGGGGGGCAAAACAGGCACTTTAATTTAAGTGCTCTCATAATTTTTTATTAAAATAACTTCCCCTTCCTTCCTTTTACATCTCCTCTCTTTTTTGATTGGAGGCAATTTCATGACTGTCATTGTTTTATCAGCTAGTTTGTCACTGCATTAGCAATGCATTTGGGATCATTACCATGCTGAAAAATATAGCTACTGTATTACCAACTGTATTAGAGGAACTTTCTAGAAGTTTACATTTTCAGCATTCGTTACTTTTATATGTATTATTCTGAATAGTTTTTGTCATGAAGATAGCCGATGAAGCTGACATGGCATCAAATAAAAGATAACATTGGAGAACATATGCTATTTTGTCCTATTTCATCAACTTTTCAAATGTGTGGCATGAGTTTGCTAATAGTTAATTGGCCTTCTGTACACACTCCATATTCATATATTCTATCCAATTTATTTGCAGGTTTCAAGTTCAGACGGCGTTCCATCACTAACTACCCGACGGGAGGTGAGGGCAGCTGTGCTCACCTGGTTGAGTCCATCCCGTGTGATGATCCCAGCTGTTTTACCTGGCAGCTGGTCAAGCTGGAGGAGTGCATCCCTGAAGAAGACATGGACTGTGGAGAGGGAACGCAGAATCCGCAAGTCCGATGCATCAACAACGAAGGTATCAAACGCTTCTGTAATATGTCAGGTTTGCTAAAGCCATTTTGGATGAGATTTCTTTATTAATGTTATTTTAGTACTGGTTAGTTGTCAACAAAGCTTTGTAAAATGCTGTCAGAGTGGAAGTAGAGAGGGTGAGATGGTCAGCAAAACATCTCATTAACATTTAAAATGCTTTATTAACTCTAGTTTTGACTCTGCTAAAGCAGTCTTTCCCAACTCTGTTCCTGAAGGTGCACCAACAGTTCACATTTCCAAACTCTCCCTAATCAAACACACCTGAATCAGCTCATCAGAACATTAGAAAAGACCTGAAATGAATTTTTCTGATAAGGGAAACTATCAAAATATGTACTGTTTGTGTCCCAGGAAAAAGGTTTGGGAAAAAACGTTCCCCTTCGGTTGGGGAACTTCAGTGCCATGAATGGGAGGATTCGGATCAGAAGCCGCTTATCTGGAGAGTATTGAACGGGCCAATGAATGAAATTAATTGGCAGCGTAAGCTTGCGCAGGTGTGCGACATCTGCAATTATCTCAGCATATAAGCACACCTGAAGCCAGCAGACGCCATCCTTTTCGCTTCAGATCCTTTCTGAGTGAGTCGATGAGGGTTCCTCTTGCTGATCAGCACTTCAGAGCGAACGAGTGTGTCTCCCGGTCCAGAGTGGGTCTTCGCGGTGGCAGACGGTAGAGCTGGGTTACTCCCTTGCCTGCGGTTCTTTGGGTCCGGTCCTCCAGAGCGGTGCGTATAGTTGCAACTTTCCTAAAAGAGCAACACAGTCGTGCAGCACGTCCTTTTCAGGATGGCGCTCCGACTGTGCGTTTCTGGATGCGGGGGTTTCCTGTCTCCGGATGATGGACACGATCACTGCATTGCATGTTTGGGGGTCCAGCATGTTAATGCGGTGCTCGCGGGCGGTTCATGTCGTCATTGCGATGCCATGACCGTTGCACAGCTAAGATCGCGGCTAACTTTCGCAAGAGAGCGAGCCACCCCAGTTGCCTCCTGTTCTAAAAAAGCAGCGGGCGCTCGGGCAGATCTGAGGGTTTCAGCGGGAGATAATCCGCCGCCCACGGGCTCGCGGACCTCTCGCTCCTCACGGCGCTCCATCCAAGCTTCGGGTGGTGAGAGTGATCTGTCTAACCAGATGGTAGCTCTCACACTCGCTGACACCGGAGATCAGATGTCCTCCGCGGCATCGGAGGGTGGGCTTTCACTGTCCGACGAAGATCCGGACCCGCTCGCCCCCTCCGGGCAGGTGAGCGCTGTCAAATCGGATCCTGAAGCGGACATGTTAGCCGTGCTTTCCCGGGCTGCTTCGGCCGTGGGGTTGGAGATGGTTTATCCCCCAGCTCCGCGGCCGGACCGACTAGATGGGTGCTACGTAGAGGACCAGAAGGCGAAGCCTTCGAAGCCTCTCGTCCCCTTCTTCCCGGAAGTGCACAGTAGGCTCACGCAGTCCTGGAGGGCACCTTTCTCTGCCCGTGCTGCGAGTGCCTCCGCCCTCACCGCCCTTGACGGCGGAGCTGCCAGGGGGTATGAGGCGATCCCGTCAGTGGAGCGCGCTATCGCGGTCAATCTTTGTCCGCGCGGCGCCTCTACGTGGCGGGGTTTGCCCCGCCTCCCGTCCAAAGCCTGTAGGTTGTCTGCCTCCCTCGGAGCCAGAGCTTATAAGGCTGCGGGCCAGGCTGCTTCTGCTTTGCACGCGATGGCCACCTACCAGCGCTACCAAGCGCAGGCGCTGGCCGAGCTGCACGAGGGCGGGTCCAACCCAAGCTTATTACATGAGCTGCGCACCGCGACCGACTATGCTCTTCGGACTACTAAGTCCGCCGCGTGTGCGCTGGGGAGGACGATGTCCACACTTGTGGTTCAGGAACGCCACCTCTGGCTAAACCTGGCCGATATGCGCGACGTTGACAAAGTTCGCTTTCTTGACTCGCCCATATCCCAGGCTGGCCTGTTCGGCGACACCGTCGGTGAATTCACCCAGGAATTCAAGGCGGTGAAAGAGCAGTCGGATGCGATGGGCAATGTCATCTATCGGCGTGGCCGTAAGCCCGCTCCGCCCGCCGAGCCATCCACCTCCGCTGTTCCTCGCCGAGGGCGCCCGCCAACGAGTGCTGCCCCGCCCCCGCCTGCGCCTCCGGCCAAGCGGGCGCGGCGTTCACCTCGAAAGCAGGCAGCCCCTCCTGCCCAGGGCGCCGTTAAGTCCGGTAAACAGACCGCGAAGCGTCCCTGAGACAGGCCATCCGGAGAAGAGGAAACTTGCTCTTTCCCCGCTGGAGGGCGGGGCCCCGATAACAACGGTACTTTTCAGTGCCACCAAAACATCAGTAAAAGAGCACTTTTTCCCTTCCCCGGATGTGACTGCACGAGTTCTGCCAGTCCGGGACGCGCTGCCTTCCGGCTCGCAGACTCTACGTGCTTCGCCAGTGGCTCACGAGCGCTGGGGGGACGGTCTCCCTTCCCTCAGCCCTCCAGCCCCCTCTCCGGAGTCAGGGTGCGGAGCCAGAGCGAATCGCTCTCCTCCAGCTCTTCCGCGGGACCCTCGTGCTTCCCGGATCAGCACACCCACTCCGCGCTGCCCCACCGCTGGTACGTCAGCGATTGTAGCGATGACTCCATTAGCGAGGGCTCTGCCTGCCTGGTTAGCGCGGGCCAGCCCCTCGCGGTGGCTCATACGCACAATCAGACTCGGTTACGCGATTCAGTTCGCGAAACGGCCCCCCAAGTTTACGGGCGTGTATTTCTCCAGGGTCAACCCCCTGTCCGCCCCTGTCTTGCGAGAGGAGATTGCTGCCCTCCTGGCGAAGGGTGCAATCGAGCCGGTTCCTCCAGCCGAGATGGAGAGTGGGTTTTACAGCCCATACTTCATCGTACCCAAAAAGAGCGGTGGGTCACGGCCAATCCTAGATCTGCGCGTTTTGAACCGCTGTCTGCACAAGCTGCCGTTCAGAATGCTCACGCAGAGGCGCATTCTCCAATGCGTTCGTCCTCGGGATTGGTTTGCAGCCATAGACCTGAAGGACGCGTATTTCCATGTCTCCATTCTTCCACGCCACCGCCAATTTCTGCGGTTTGCGTTCGAGGGTCGAGCGTGGCAGTACAAGGTCCTCCCCTTCGGGCTCTCTCTGTCTCCGCGGGTCTTCACCAAACTCGCGGAGGGTGCCCTAGCGCCCCTTCGGCTCGCGGGCATTCGCATACTCGGTTATCTCGACGACTGGCTGATTTTAGCCCACTCGCGGGAGCAATTGATTATGCACAGGGACGAGGTCAACCGAGAAAAGAGCAAACTCGCCCCCGTGCAGAGGATTTCTTTTCTCGGGATGGAGCTGGACTCGATCACCATGGTAGCGCACCTCTCCGAGGAACGCGCTCGCCTGTTGCTGAACTGTCTGAGGGAGCTCGACAGCAAACTAGTGGTCCCACTGAAGTTCTTTCAGAGGCTCCTGGGGCATATGGCATCCGCAGCCGCCGTCACGCCGCTCGGGTTGCTCCATATGAGACCACTTCAGCACTGGCTTCACGATCGGGTCCCCAGACGCGCATGGCACGCGGGCACACACCGGGTCTCGGTTACTGCGCTGTGTCGCCGCGCCCTCAGCCCTTGGAACGACCCCTCGTTCCTACAGGCCGGTGTGCCTCTAGGACAGGCGTCCAGCCATGTTGTTGTTTCAACAGACGCTTCCAACACGGGTTGGGGGGCCGTGTGTCGCGGGCATGCGGCTGCGGGCCTCTGGAAGGGTGCCCAGCTGCATTGGCATATCAATCGCCTAGAGCTGTTGGCAGTGTTCCTCGCTCTCCACCGCTTTTTACCGGTGCTGGAGCGGCAACACGTGCTGGTCAGGACGGACAGTACGGCGGCGGCGGCGTATATCAACCGCATGGGGGGTATGCGCTCTCGCCGCATGTCTCAGCTCGCCCGCCGTCTGCTCCTCTGGAGTCACCCGCGGCTGAAATCGCTGCGCGCCATTCACATCCCAGGCACGCTCAATCGTGCAGCCGATGCGCTCTCACGACAGCTGGACGCCCTGGAGAATGGAGACTCCACCCCGAGTCTGTTCAGCTGATATGGGCGCGATTCGGGGAGGCCCAGATCGATCTGTTTGCTTCCCCCGAGAACGCTCACTGCCAGTTGTTTTTTTCCCTGACCGAGGGCTCTCTCGGCACGGATGCACTGGCCCACAGCTGGCCTCGGGGCATGCGCAAGTATGCGTTTCCCCCAGTGAGCCTGCTCGCGCAGTTTCTGTGCAAGGTCAGGGAGGACGAGGAACAGGTTCTGCTAGTTGCGCCCCTTTGGCCCAACCGGACCTGGATATCAGAGCTCTCACTCCTCGCGACGGCCCTCCCCTGGCGGATCCCTTTGAGAGAGGACCTACTCTCTCAGGGACAGGGCACCATCTGGCACCCTCGCCCCGATCTTTGGAACCTCCACGTGTGGTCCCTAGACGCGAGGAAGACTTAGGTAACCTACCGACTGCGGTGGTTAATACCATCACTCAGGCTAGAGCCCCCTCCACGAGGCGCGCCTACGCCCTGAAGTGGAGTCTATTCACTGAATGGTGCGTCTCTCGCAGAGAAGACCCCCGAAATTGCCAGATTAGTGTTGTGCTCTCTTTCCTTCAAGAGAAGTTGGACAGCAGGCTGTCGCCCTCCACTCTCAAGGTTTACGTGGCCGCCATCTCCGCTTATCATAGCGCGGTAGCTGGCGGCACCGTGGGAAAGCATAACCTGGTCATCCAGTTCCTTAGGGGTGCTAGGCGAATTAATCCATCTCGCCCCCCTCTCATGCCCTCTTGGGATCTCGCCCTCGTTCTCACGAGTCTGCGATCCGATCCCTTTGAGCCACTCGAATCAGTATCTCTAAGATTTCTGTCCCTGAAGACAGCTCTGCTGGTTGCGTTGGCCTCCATCAAGAGGGTCGGGGACCTGGAGGCATTTTCGGTCAGTGACTCGTGCCTGGAATTCGGGCCGGATTACTCTCACGTTATCCTGAG